GGATTACCAATCGAGCCCAAGGGCCACCTCAAATCCGAATTCGAACTTTCACTCGGGGACTGCCGATCGAAAACAATCTCGGATGGTCCGAGCTATCAGATTACAAGGACAAAAGACCTATTAGGCAACGCCCGAATTTCTAATGCTACGGCCTCCCCTGCTCGGGGACAGTTATCTTAGGCATGCCTGGATAACTGGGGATAGCAAGCACACTGGGCGACGCCTGAACTAAAAGATTACGGCCATATTAACGCGGCTCGAAGACGTCCGAGACCCGTAACAAAAACAAGGCCTTTGAAAAATTCTATTTTATAACCGATTCTAAAGGCTACCATTGGCAAGGCTATAAACCTAGGATATTTCCGGGGAAAATTATCGGTAACACCGAACCCTTACAATGCCTTAACCCAAAGCGGCGATAAAGGCAAGGTTTGATCGAACCTTCGAATATAACCTAACTATTTCATGCTAAGGCATTTCAACCTTTACGAACACAAATAGAAAAGCAAAGGAAAAGTTCAAAAAGCCATAGAAAGGAAAAGCCATACATATATATATCAAATTTATTTACAAGGGCGGAACAACCCCACGTTTTGGTAATATTTATTGATTAACACATGATACTTGTGTGTTAGTTGGAATCGTCTGTTTTCAGGTTTCTTTTATACTTGTCTGTAGTTTTGATGTAATTTTTAGAGTTAGAGTTATGGTGCAATCCATTACGCAAACTTAAAATGTAATATCAGAAATGTTAGTGATAAGGAAAAAAATAAAATCTCTCGTTAGTTATTGTGGGAAGATCAGCAATCAACAAATGATGCCCAAATGATTGTGAAATTAGTACCCGTACATGTCAAGATGCATTCATTTGGCTGACTAGAAGAACAAACTCCTTTTATTCACATACTCCTGTATCCTAGTTTAGTTTCATCAGCTACTTTCAGCTTCTTTACTACATTGATTTGAGAAATGCCGTGAATATATAGGGGGCCGGTTATACAATAAATATAATTGGCAAGATAGTGGGTTATTTTTTTTATCATATTCATTCTTTGCTCAAAATATATATTCATAAACATATACATCCGTCCAGCAAATATTTGGTGAATTAATCAAGACAAGATTCACAAATTCAAAACGACAAGCTAAAACGCTCGCCTATAACCTAACATTGCCTGCTTCACATAAGAAGGTGTGGCTGAAGACACTTCAAATTACCCAACAAAAAAGAGGGTTCGGGAATCTCTGAATTCATATGCCAGAAACTTAATCCAACTATTTTTTCGTACATTAAATAAAAACTGAACTGAAAGAGGTTAGACTAAAACAACAACAACAACTACGCCGCGTTTAGTCAGAGTTAACTATGTGAATTCTCGCTGTCCGGTCCATTTCACTCTATTAGAACCGTTTTATTCCAATAAAAGTTACTACTGAAAGAAAATTTAAAGGTTTCATATTTCAATAAAGATCGCAAAAACCTGTAGGTGGTGGGGAAAGAAAATTTAAAGGTTACTACCGTTTTATTCCATTTCACTCTATTAGAACCGTTTGATTTTGCAATGGAGAGTCAACTGAAACTTATGTCAGAGAGTTTCTGTTGGATCACATGCACATCAATCCTTGCCTGAGAGGCAACCTGTGAAAATCGCAAACAAAATGAAATTGTTAATGATCTTTCACAATTAGAGAAGTTAAGAACTAAAAAGGTAATATATGAGTTAGGGGCGGCACAACATGATCTAAAACGATTTAATTGAATCCCTTTAGTTCGAAAAGTTATTCTTATATGCAAATAAGGTAAAACCAAATCTTTATATGTATATATCTATAACTTGTTGAATCCTTCAAGATAAGTGATCGGAAGCTAATAGTGTAGGCAAACAGTTGCTCAAATATTTCTTTAGGTCGCAATTAAGTCCAACCAACAAGTGTGGCATTTTTGCATTTTTTGAATTCCCTTATTAAATCTTCTAGCTCCGGCACTATTAATGGGTTAACCTTATCTAATGAAAAGAACTCATCAATTTTCTGCATTTATACCTCAGTTCGGATAGTGTGAAGTAAATTTGTATTAGTTTTGGTGCAGCTGCAGTTCACAATGCTAAGCCCCTCTTGCAGTAATACTTCAAGAACCCTAGAAAGGCGAAAACCTTCACTCTCGACACCACATTTGACCAAAATCTCCATGCCGTCCAAGCATTGCTTCACTGTCACAATTGTTGACGACGAGGAGTCACTAGTTGACGAGCTACCACTTACGGTATAATCAAGATTGCTTAAATTTGAAGCCTTCTTTAACTTTTCTCTCCTGTCTTCCAAATTCCTAACAATCTTCTGCAGGTGTTCTATATAATTCGCCGCCTCAAGTATGTGGTCCGATGTGGAACGTTTTCCCTGAAAATGTTCAACATTTATGCTTTTAGGCAAATTTAATGAGTCCATTAATTAATGGAATATAGAATTGATCTAATTTTGGGAAATAGGAGGATAGGAAGATATTCAATTCAACTGGAAGAAGATGTTGAATAAAAAGTTTCTGATTTATTACAACACCAACAAAGATAAAAGAAATTGTTTCATTATCTATAACGTCTATCACTTCCGGAGCAAATTAAAATGACATACATAAATTGCTTAAATGCAATGTTTTATGAACGTTAATTAGATGAAGCAACAGATCTGTCCCCGAGAAATTAATGAGACTAGACCTGGCGTGTCTCTTGTAGAATTAGTGCAAAAGAGAATCAATGCAATTTCTGTTATCCCGCCAATATTGCTGTATTTGTAAATAATAATTCTGCAAAATATAAGTTAACGTAATGAAA